CCACCTCCCCCCCCCCCCCCCCGCCATCCAAACTGCATGGGAAAGAGAATCTGAGGTCAGATCATAAATAATTACTGCAGCCTTAACTAGAATCACCAAGACAGTGAGCAGTAGAAAAGAGGATCCAACCAGATCCTGTCTGTTAGGCAGAAAGTTTGTGTCTTCCCTCTTAAAAAACAGTAACAGTGATGCCAGAAATCATGGCTACATCACAAGCCAGTCATGCATTTTGTGAGAGACGTGGAGAACAGATGATCACAAGCCCGCAGAATGTTGTGCTTGCAAGTGTCTTCCGCTTCCTATTTCAAATAAAGTCACGGTTCCTATGAAGCTCTTTGCTTAACGGTTTTATTCTTGCCTGTATCTGAAGTTAAAATTAACTTCATTGCTGGGGATAATAAAATATGACTTTCCCTCGCACGCAGATGTGAACTTTCGCTGTCCTTCAGCTGCCAGGCTGGAAACTTCATCATAAACTGCAAAACCTTTGATCTGCTGGTGCTGCCAAGCAGCTAACAGAGTACTGGGAGCATCATGTCTCCGAAGCCAGAGACAGGAAAACGATCTGAAGAGAACTGAAAGCCACTGCACATCCCAGTGCCTTGCTGACACATTTTGCCCTACTTTGATTCAAAACACCTGCTGGAACTAGTTTATTCACTTTGATTCCAAAACCTGCTAAAGCTGACTCGTACAACGCAGTCATTCAGAGATTTGTCAGAAGGTACAAACGCCAAACAAAACTTACTTGGCTCTTGCCATCCGGAAGCGATTGCGTTTCAGCACAGTGGCCAGCATGGTGGCTAGAGACTCCTTCTTGTCACCTGTCCACTGATGGCACTTAAAGGGCACTTAAAGGGCAGCCAGGGGCATATCTGTCCTTGCCTCCAGAGGGGGCTCCGGAGTCTGCCCGGGCTCTGCAATACCCCTTGAACGCTTCCAGTTGTCCAGTCACTCCGAAGAGGCAGGGGAGTGACAGAGAAGACAAACAGTGATGCTGTCCCCTTGATCTGCACCCGCTGCTCTGTGACTCAGGCGTCCGCTCCACTATCTAGCTACCAGTAGGGAGGAAGCTGTCTTGTAATCACACGGTGGGACAGAACTTCCTTTGCGTGCACGCCTTCTCGGTACAACTTTTCCCCTGAGCGCCAGCCCTCCAATGCAGCGGAGCAGTCCAAGCCTGGCTGTTTGGACTCATTGCCACATGCATGGCTGAATCCATGGGAGCTGCATGGAGCGCTGCCCAGCCCAACCCAGGACGCTTGCCCATCGATCAGCAACCCTCCCATTTGACTTCCTCGGTGCCTTTTCAACCACCAAACCAGCAGCCTGGAATACAGGGATATCACCAGCACGTTGACACGTAATGTTATCCATCCACAGCACTTGCTCAGCTTCTCCTTCCCCCCATCCTCCCGTCCTCCCTGGAGCTGCGTTCTCCCAGTCTCCTGAGTGTGGGTGTGAGAGAGTGGCTATCTTATTTCCGGCCAGATGACAGAAAGGAGACAGGCCTCAAACAGATTAGCTTGGGGCTCTGGGACTCAGCTCAGTGCTGGAGGAGCAAAGAATGGCTAGCCTGAGGATGCAGGAGGTCCTCTGGCTAATGCGTAGCAGGCAAGCCAAGTCTTTGTGCTAACCAGCTGCTGCTATCGCTATGAGTGGCTGCTCAGCCCCAGCCATGTAGAAAGAGGAAGGAGCGGTTGGGTGGGGGCTGCAAAACCAAGAGCCGAGAGGAGGAATCAAGAAACAGAAGAAGAGTACAACAGGCCTCTCCGTCCTTCTCCCCTTCCCCCCTCCAACACACAAGGGAGCACAGTTATTTATTTTAAATATTTATAGCCCAGATCTTATGGCAGGTTACAACCCATATAAAAGGCAAGGCAGAACAGTAAAACCAAACTTCATTTACAACACACAATAACCATCCCAATGATGTCACTACTAAGTTATGTTTAAGAAACATGCTTAGCTAACTGGGTCTGTTCAAGACTGAATGGTTTCATTCACACTATGTTTGCTTAGTGTTAACCATGGGTTAATATGTTGTTAATATGTAGTGACCCAAGCTGTGAGGCTTTATGATTCATTGGACTGCATGAACCCTCTAAATGGGTGACTTGAGTAAGCAGGTCAAGCACATTGTGTGAATGAAGCCATACAGAGGCACTTAAGGGACAAAAGGCAAAGTTAAGCTGTAGATGCTACATTGTGAATGGGAGAGTCAAAAGCCAGGGTTCCTTTGGTGCTGAAAAAGACAGCCCTGGTGTGGCCCGCAAAGGTAGCCACAACAACAAAGGCCATTTCCCTCATCCCCACATACCTCTCCCAACCTTGGAGCACTGAGGGGAGCCCCCCTGTAGATTTCAATGCTGAGATTGGTCTCTCCCAAGAGGTGCTCTCTCAAATATTGGGCTGCTAAAGCATGAAGGCTCTTAAACCTTGAAGTCTGCCAATTACATAAGCAGCCAGTGCAATTCATTTATAGAGGAGGGCAGAAGATGGAAAGGAACTTCCCCTTCTTCAGACCAGTGGTGGTTCTTCTACCCATTCATCTCCATTACCTGTGATACAGCTTACTTACATTTGGGGTCTACTGAGTCTAAAGAATTTCACACATCAGCCTTCAGGGGAAAGAACCTCTCCTCCTGTTTGGCATTAGCCAAACTCTTGTGCTGTTTTGAGAGGTTTGTGAAAGGTAGATGTAATATAAGGGTCAGAATTTGAAAGGGACTACCCCTTAGTTGCAATGGAGAATATCTTTTCCCTAAATCTTTTTACATACCAGAAGCAGCAAGAATGCCCTTGGCTCAGGGTTCCACAAGTTGAAATATGGTTCCTGCTTTAAAATTAGCCTGTTCCAATTAATCCACAGACGTTTCAGTTGATAGCTTAAACAGAGAATATCTGCAAATAAATTCCATTGTGTGACTCAGTGATGCACCCACACAACACATTTAACCTGGTTATTGACTTCGCCCATTTTCTGGAGGGGGCATTCACACAATTTATTGACCATGAACCAACTGGCTGGGTTTGCACAATAGACTCAACCAGGAAAAAAATTGATTTCGTTTGCACAAAACAGCAGATTGAGTCTGCTGCTGCTGCTTGCAGGAAAATGATCTACCTGATGATCCAGTGGCAGATGATGAATGAAATCAGCAAATGCTTCAATGCAATAGGAAGCAGCCATCTTGGCTGACATCCCAGCCTTCTACGTAGCTGTAGCTCCCAACATCTTTTTTACCTACACAAAATACCACAGTGCTAAATCAGGGCTAAAGCCATGGGGGGATGGCATGGGAAGAAAACCTTTGCCTTTAGGATTAAAAAGTAAGGAAACTTAAAAATATAGTCCCAGTTTTCACAACTGCTTTAAGCTTCATTTTTGATGTCCCAAGGTCAAAAGGGAGACTCAACTTAGGGCTATCAGATCAGGGGTGCAGACATCCAGATGACCACTGGATGGCAACAAACAAATAAAAAGATTATCTTTGCGGTCATCTAGTGGTCAGCCAGATTTTGTAGCCCTACTTAATTCTTCGTTCTGCATTTGTACAACATAAACCTGACACAAAGCAAGGCTTATACGAAGCTATTTATTTGGGGGTTGATTCTGATCCAGAAATATTTGAACAACACTCTGAAAGGACCCAGTTAAGCGCATCATACAGATGTCACCAATGGTTCACCAAAATGGGAGCAGTATCCACTCTAACGTCCTTGTTTAGATGGAGCAATGGCTTGCATGGAAGTTACTTTCTTGTAAGACTGTGGTGATTTGCAAAGCAAGGCTGCTTTCTAATTCAAATCCATTGGCACCCTTCCAAAATCTGGCCCTATGGGATGTCTGCTAGCATGGTGAGCAATGCAAAAGCTTGGCAGCATGGCTGGCAAAGTTGCATAACACAAACCCAAATAGTATCTGCTTGTTATTTCTAGTTTGTGGCATCTCCCTTCCTAGCTTCAGTTTAATATTATACCATAATCTGGGGTACCTTTTGCATAAGTCACATCCAACTAAGGAACATCCAGGATGTGAAGCCCAAAGTAGCATTTTACAAGCAGGTTTTGAACATAAGATATAACTGGACAGTCTTTAATGCACAGGCTTTCACATTTAGTGTTTAACATGACAAAACCATCTCTCTCCCAGGGACAAGACCTGAAACAGCAGCTGTGCATGTTTGAAATGCACCTCGGTTTGGGAGAAGGCATTGATTGGCTGATACCTAGGCTGTCAGGAATATACTTTTTCTTCTTATTTCCCAGAGTGGCTCTGCAGTTTTTGGAAAATGTGGAATTGTTCATTTTCAGCTAAATTATATCAAGGCTGATAGTTAATCCAATATTCACATTGCTGGGACTGTAATTCTAACTGGGCAATCATGAACACAACTCAGATACTGGATCAATCACTGTTCCTACTATTGTAAGACCTAGAAACTGCTACAAGAAACGATGGTGTCCATTGATTTAGAATGGCTTTAACAGAGATTAGGCCAATTTATAGAGAACCATGCTAGTTAACACACTAAGGCCAATTGTCTGCTTGCTTGTGGTTTAGCATGTTGTATGAACCAGCCTGTTTGGTTCACTGGTGTGATAACAGTAGTTAAGTTCTTTGACTAAAACCTGGGAAACTGGATTCATCTTTGATCAGTTGCCCCATTGCATGGATTTGGCTCAGCCATTATCTCTTAGCTCAACCTTATTTCATGAGCTGACAAATAAAGGAGGAGAACTGGCTATTAGTCAGAAAGCTAACTAGGACCCCTAGGTTTCGATGCAGTCTATCAGTCTGTGTGCTTTGTGAAAGCGCTTCGCCACTTTACACAGCCACATTCTAGATTATATGGAATGATCCAGGTGGGCCATTCTGACATTGGTATGGATCTTTACACACCCTTCAACTGGATTCAGAGCTGAGGAGACCAATCTCTGCAGCAAACTCTTGCTTCTAGACCCTGCAGGCCACGGCCATCCCAGAGACCCCCTACCTGAAACAGGTGGCATGCCAGTCGGCGTTCAGGGCTTGCAAGTACTGACCGTCGTAGATGCTGTGGCTGCAGCTGGCACATATTGGCAGGTCACTTCCTGGGGATCACAAAAGAGGTCATAGAGGTGACTGCTGCAACCAGGAGCTGCAGTCTGGATTCTGGCAACAGACTTAGCTATTAAGATTTAAAAGAGCACAAGTGTTGGTCTATTTTTTCTCTCCCAACATCCCAAGCTCCTGGGTTATCCCTAAGATTCAATTCTTTTGAGACAGTTTATGCCGAAATATAGAATGGAAACCCAATGAAAAGCAGAGTGCCTCTGAGAACATGCAAAGTGTATCAGTCAAAAATCTCAAGCTGAGCCTGCAACTTCAAGGTTTGTGATGTCTTTTTCCTCCAAAACAGAACCACGATCATCCTCCTCCCCCCTTTGAGAAGAAAGTGTAGAAGGGAGGATAATTTCCTTGTTTCTTTGGGGTTGAAATTAGAGCAATTGCCTGCCAGAGGGGAGAGCCAATTCTGCCAGTCCCGAGAGGCTTAATGGCCACAATCTTGTGCAGGAGGTGCTTTTCTGACTTTTGGATCAATGTCTGGTGGAAAGGATTGATCTTCCATTTTTGTAACAACAGCATTATCCCCTACTTCACCCTCTGGCACAGGAAGGTGAAGGTCAGCAGCAAAGAAACCAGGGAGCCCTATCTATAATTGTCTTTGCCAGTCACATAAATGGGAGTTAAAACCTCCAAACTTGTTTTGGTGGTGGATCCAATCCTGCAACACAGGAGCAAAAGTGCCTCGAAACATGTACAGAGTTGCCTTTCTTGCTTCACTTTATATAAACTGCATTAATCCCTGTCCCAAATTCTCTATTCTGGCATGGGGTCACAAGGATGGGAAGAATGAAGAGGGATTGGGGGGAGGGGGAAACAGGCCTGCTGTAGATCTGCATCTTAGTAAAGGTACCATTTTAAACCAGCTCTTACGTTACAGTATAAGTTACAGCATGCAGTGTAAGAAAAACGTCTAAAAGGGGAGAATTATTTCTAAAGTTATATTACCACCTAAAGCATCCTGCTAAAAACATAAAACAAAAGATGAGGGGTGAGAACTGACCCCACCATCCAGTTTGTTCTATAATTTTTTTCCCTGCCCCCTGACTAACTATGGGTCATTTGTCTTGGTAGGGAAATGGCATCGGGAGACTAAGATCAGGCAGCACCCTGGACAGCACCCACGGGATGGTGGGGGATTTGAAATAGATATATTTTTATTTTGTCCGCCCCCCCCCCCACGCCCCGTCCCCATTTATCTGCCTTTTATGAGTTGGAAAGTATCGGAAGTAGGAGTTCCGTGGCTGAACGGGAGAAGAAAACGCGTTCTATACGTGCTCGCAGGGACCCATCTAACCCTTAGTTTTGTCACTAAAACTAGTTTCGCGACGGCGAGCCTGGATACAAATTAAATTGGGGAGTGCGTGAGGGGAGGCGGTAGGGGCAATGAAAGGGGAGGGAGTTGCGTCAAGGTCCCCTTTCGACGTGCCAAGGGCATCTCTCCGTCAGGGGCCTGCCAAGCCTCCCCCCCCCGCCCGCGAGGCACAGCGGGGGGCGCGCGCCGAGAGGTCGCCAGT